GCGCGCCTGGAGGGACAGGCGAGGCCGAGAGGCGCTGTCTGTGGCCTGCTCTGGGGTATCTGCAGGCTCTAGCTACTCTGCCCCACTCTGTGTGCAATGGCGTGTGGAGGGTACTCTCACCCCCTTGCTGCCTACTGCCTTCCCCACGGGCAGCTGCGAGGTCCCCCAGGGCCGCGGGCTCCACTCCGCGTCTGTGGGCTTCTGTGAGGCCAGGAGGGCAGTGCCCTGTGCAGCAGCAGTCTGCCCCCCCCCCCTTCTCCCTCGCTGCTACCACGTGCCCGCACCGCAGGGACGAGGAGGGAGGGCTCACACAGGCCAGGAGCCGCCTGGATGCAAACCAGCTCAGTGAGCTGTGCGGGAGCCTCTGTCCTGGGGCTTGCTCCAGGCAGGACGGAAGGTGGGCACCTTGCCCGTCCTCGGGCACGATGCCACGTCTCCATCCCAGGTAGCAGAGCTTTCATTGTAGGGAATGGAGAAAACATTGATGCAGGAGACAGCTGGGGCCTGGGGTCAAGCAGCTGGGAGTACAGCCCTGTTCCCTGCAGTGTGTCCTTCACAAATTCGGGAACCTCTCTGAGCATCGACCTGCTCACGATTGCACTTGCCCACTGCAATCCTCTGAGTATAAGCCTGGTTTACAGCTGAGGAAACTGAGGTAAGGAGTGGTGAAATCACTCATTCGAGTTTTCCCAGGAGGCAGAAGTGAGGGCAAGACAACAGATCTTTTCATCAGCAAGATGGAAGTAACGGCTTGCTCTCGGGTGGGGAGGATGCAGCTGGATTGAACGACCCAATATGTGGGGCACTTGGTACATGTTGGAGGTCCAGGGAGCAGCGGCCCCTGTCCCACTTGTGTCATTGGACTGTGGTGCTCAGACCCAAGACTGCCAGCGTCCAGTGGCCCCACTTGCAGGCTCTGCAATGTGGGGTTGTAATGCACCCCAGCCCGCCCAGGCCAGCGAGCCAGGCCCACACCCTGGATACAGTAACAGGGCAGGGCTTGGTTTCCGGGAGTTGCCAGTGGAGAGCATTGGCATCTAAGAGCCCCCCACCCCCACCCCGTCTGCTAAATGGCCAGAGGCATTCGCCTCCTGGGCCACCCTCCATGAGTGGGGAGTGGACAAGCTCTCTCTGGCTGCCTTGCCGGCCTCTCTGGGTGCATCTGCTCCCCCGTCAGGCCTGTCCTTCCTTCTCCCTCTCCCCCAACCTGACCCTGGCCCCAGAGGCAGGCCCCCTGTTCCTGTCCCAGGAAGCTGGGGAGGGGGACAGGGAACAGGATGGTGACGTTGGGGGGGGCTGCTGGGAGAATGCCTTGCTTCCTGGCCCCGTGCTAGAAAGGAAGGAAGGAGGCAGAGCGGCCTCCCCTGCTCAGCACTTGTCCCCACCAGTGTGGGCGCCTGGACAGCCCCGTGCCCTCCCCCAGTACCAGGAGCATAAACAAAGGAGGCTGCAGAGGACCAGGAAGCCCGAGGATGGGAAATTCCAGGGCTTCCCGGCTCCACACTCCTCTTGCACCGGCCTCTGGACACACCCAGGCTGAAGAGAGAATGAGAAGCGGGGGCGTCCTAGGAGCAGTCCCAGCTTCTGGGGAGAGGGACCTCTGGGGGCATGTCTCTTTATTCAAATGTGAAACTGGATCATTGTGTGGCTATCAGCTCGGAGTTGGCAACAGCAGCAATGGTGATCCTTCCTCAGCAAACAAGA